TCAAAACAACTTGGTACTGGAAGAAAAATAGACATGCAGACAAATGAGACAAAGTAGAAAACCTAAAAAGCAATCTATAAATCTACAACAAACTGAATTTTGATAAATAAGCTAAAATATCTCCCTGGAGAAACTAGAGACTCTTCTACAAACAATGTTGGGAAAACTCAATTTCCAATAAAAAGTTTGAAACAAGACCCCACCTTAGTCCTATGGAAAAAATCAACTTACAATGGATCAAGGTCCTAAACTTGAGAAATAAAATTGCAAGACAAAATATAAGAGAAACACTGAAAGACATTGGCATAATAAAACACTTCTTGGATAAGAAACCAGAAGTACATGCATTGCAAGCAAACCCGGACAAATGGGAATGCAGCAAGCTAAGACATCTCTGCACAGCAAAGGAAACAAGCTACAAAGTGAAGAGTCCTAGAACAGAATGGAGAAAATATTTACAAACCTTGTCTCTTGTAAAGGATTCATGTCCATAATATATAAGGAACAGGAGAAAAGCAAAGCAATACAGTTAAAAAATGGGCTAAGTATATGAACAGGAATTTTTTAAAGGAGGAAGTACAAAGGGCCAATAGACACATTAAAGAAATGCTCAGGATCAGTACCAAGTAGAGAAATACGAATAGAAACTGTAATGAGTTACCACCTCCCTCCAGTTGGAACAGCTGTCACACAAAAACAAAAACAGCAAATGCTGCTGAGGATGTGCAGAATAAAATGGTACCCTAAAACCCTGCTGGTGAGACTGTAAACTGGTACAATCGTTATGAAAGGCAGTATGGAGATTCCTCGAAAAACTGAAAATACAGAACTCCCTGTGACCAACCATCCCACTCCAGGGACTGTATCCAAATGAAATGAAGGCAACATATGAAAGAGCCTCCTGGGTACTAATGTTTATATTAGCTCAACTCACAATAGCTAAGACATGGGACAAAGCTGGATGTCTATCAACTGATGGCTGGATAAAGAACTGTGATGTCTATATAGAAGTAGCAATATTGCTCAGCCACAAAAAAGAATGAAATCCAGTGGCTGGTGCTGCTGCATAGTAGATTAAGCAAAGCTACCATCTGTGACACCAGCTCCCCAAAGGGGTGCTGTTTCATGTCCCAAGTGCTCCACTTCTGATCCTGTTCCCTACCGAAGGCCTGGGAAAAGCAGCAGAAAATGGCCTAATTGCTTGGGTCCCTGTAAGCCCATGGAGACCTGGAACAAGCACCTGATTACTGGCTTTAGAATGCCTCTATCCTGGCCCTTGTGAACATATAGGAAGTGAACCATTGATGGAAAAATCTCTCTTTCTATGTCTCTTCCTGTCTACAGCTTTGGCTTTCAGACAAATAAATAAATCTTAGAAGAAAAGTTTGAAATCCTGACCTTTTCAACAAAATAAATACAACCTTAGATCATTAGGCTGAATTAAATGAGATCCAAATAAAAAAATCACATTTTCTCTTATTTATGATAGTTAATAAATATTTATAGACATATTAGCATAGCATAATGATTTGTGATTATTTTAAAATTTACTGTATATGAGTATATATACTTAAATAAATAAATATACTGTATATAAATATACTGATATGAGTGAAATTGACACTTAGAATGGATTATTGTTTATAGACCTTGCCTATACTTGTTAAACTCTTTGTTTAGTGGAACAAAATGCCTTTGAATATAATGTAAATAAAAATATTCTGTTATAAAAATTAAACAAGAAAAACTAAATATAAATAAATAAAGAGAAAGAAAGAAAAGAACAAAACAAAGGAAGAAGGAAAGAATAGGGAGGAGGAAGGCAGACTGTAAGGGAAGAGCCATTACATTCTTAGAATTGCATTTTGGAACCACATTAACTTTGTTATATCATATTAACAAGAGAGAACATCTAAAAAGAATAAAAGATTCATGGGTGAAATTTCTAGGAAAAAAAAAAAAAAACAGAAAACTGACTCAGCGTTTTGGGCTCAGCAATGATTTATTGGATAGAACACCAAAGCCAGTCAACATAAACAAAACAAATCAAATGGTACTGTGGAGAATCCCACAGGAATCTCAAAAAGAGTCATGGATCACCACTTACCTGGAAAGGAGATGAACTGTGAAAACTCCACAGTAAAACATTGAAAAGTTGCCATTAGCCACAAAATAAAAATAAAGTGGAGTTATTCATAATAAGTCAAGAGCTGAGGCGATAATAATGGCTGTTAGGGAGACACTCCTAATCATACTGGTCAGTAAGATCAGTGTGCTATGGACAATACCTTCCTACCCACGCTAACTAGACCCTTCAAACATAAGTAAGGCGGGAACAGTATTGATTGGACTGTTCAACTGCAAGCAAGGAGGAAACAGATTTGATTGCACATCAAGTCGGAGAATGGCAAGCTGGAGGACTGCCGGAAAATGTGGATAAAAGGGAGCCCATGCACCACTCACCATCCTTTCGGGGATCGTGGCCCAGTGTGTGTGAACCTCTGGAACTCCACACATCTGGAGCTGAAGAGGCAGCCCGCTACTCTGCATGGAGCAGGTAGTGGCACAAGCTGACCTGCAGAGCTGTCCCTGAGCTGTAATACCCCACTGTCTGTGTGTGAGTATGTGTGTGTGTGTGTGGCCCAGTGCATGTGAACCTCTGGATCTCCTCGCACTTGGAGCTGAAGAGCCAGCCCGTTAGCCCCCTTGCTAAACGACACAAGGTGACTACAGGATCAAAACTCCAGCCGAGATGCCACCTCACCTCCGTGCCTGGACCCCTTATCAGCTTACTGCCAGACCTGACCACAAAACCCAGACCAGGCCTCTCAGCAGGGATCTCTCCAACTTCTCTCCTGGCCATCCGACTGGGAACTTTGAGCCTACTGCCCAGAGTGACAGCCTTCCCACAACTTCCTGCCTTTAAGTGACTGATCTGAGATCCGTCTCTGCTGAGACGTGGAGCTCTGGACCTTGAACACTGACACTCTTTTTTGTGACCGTGAGGCGAGCCTTGAAAATATAGCTTTTACAAATAATGTTAGTCATGTGTAATATAATATAACTATGCTTTGACCCTATGTTTTGATCCTATGCAAGGTATCTGCAAATAATGCTGGAGACCTTGATGTACATATACTATTATAATTGGATAACCCTCAGCCGGTGCCTTGGCTCAATAGGCTAATACTCCGCTTGTGGCGCCAGCACACCAGGTTCTAGTCCCAGTTGGGGCACCAGATTCTGTCCCAGTTGCTCCTCTTCCAGTCCAGCTCTCTGCTGTGGCCAGGGAGTGCAGTGGAGGATGGCCCAAGTGCTTGGGCCCTGCACCCACATGGGATACCAGGCAAAGCACCTGGTTCCTGCCTTCGGATCAGCGCGGTGCACCCGCCGCAGTGAGCCGGCCGCAGTGGCCATTGTGGGGTAAACCAACGGAAAAGGAAGACCTTTCTCTCTGTCTCTCTCACTGTCCACTCTACCTGTCAAAAAAACAATAATAATTGGATAACCTCAAAGTTACTTTAACACTGTATACTGTGATCTGTGGATTAATGAATAAGCTCAAGTAGTAATATTGATATTGATATTGATGGTATTGATTTTAGTAGTCCTCTAGTCATTAAGGAAATAGTGCTACTCTGATAGTTAAGTGTTATTATAGTAAGTTAAGTAGAAGATTACTTATGTTAAGCTAAGTAGTTAAATAGTTAAGTCACATTAAGTAATAGTGTTAAGTTTATTGATAAATGTATTAAATAGTATAGATTGATAAATATATTGATACTGATAAGCGTATTGACTTCAATGAACATGCCGATGAGTAGTGTGATAAAAAAAACCCTGGTGTGTAAAAAATAAAATCTCTCATTGGAAAGGCAATCTTGTGGCCTGGTGTCTCCATGACTGACAAGTCATCCGTCTACTTGCTACTGTCGAGCTGCGTGACAGTAGGCGCTCGTGACAGGTACTTATATTTAGCTAAAGGCTTCTGCACTCTGTAGGCAAAAATCAGCACACAGAAAAGGCAACCTACAGAATAGAAGGAAATATTTGCAAAGCATTTATATAATAAGGAATTGACATTGAAAAAAATGAGAAACACTTTCAACTCAATAGGAAATAACAATAACAATGACAATGATGGTGATACTTAATTATGGGGCAGAGGACCTGAATATAATTTTCTTTTTGTTAAGGGAAAGGGTTTATTGGGGAAAACCCAGCAGGCTGGAGGGAAGGGGCAAAGAGGGAAAAAGAGAGAGAAGGAGAGCATATAAGAGAGAGAGAGAGACAAAGAGGAGAGGAGCTAGCGAGGAGAGAAGAGAGAGAGCAGGAGGAAGAGAGAGCGAGCAGGAGATAGAAGAGAAAGGAGCAGAGATGAGAGAGAAGTGAGAGGAGAACAGATGAGGAGGCTATAATTTTCTACAAATAGGACATGAAAAGTGTCAACAGGTGTATGAAAATATGTTCAGCATCACTAATCAGGAAAATGCAGACGTGAAGTGCCTTTTTTTAAATTAATTAATTTAGTATTTGAAAGGTAGAGATACACAGAGAAGGAAAGACAGGTATATGGGCAGATAAAGAGGTATCTTTCTCCTTCTTCTCCACCTGAGAATAACAGCCCAGGCTAGCCTAGGTCTAAACCAGGAGCCTGGGAACTGGATCTGGGTCTCCAGTGTAAATTGCAGTAATACAGATACTGGAGCCCTCACTGAAGCCTCTCAAGGTTCTCATTAGCAGGGAACTGGGACCAGAATCAGAGCAGGTCCTCAAACCCAGGTGCTTGATATGGGCTTCAAGCATCCCATGTATTGTCTTCACTACTGTGCCAAAACTGGCACCTAAAGCACTTTAAATTACAGTTCAAATAACAATATTTATTCAACAAATAGCCCCATGTTGTGCCTGTTCCAGAACCCTATCTGTTTTTATTATTAAGTATGTAATCATGTTGCTATACTGACTAGAAGATAATTTAGGTTTATTTCCCCAGGGTCATCTCCTGTGGGTTTCATCAGCAGTTGAACACGTGGATATAAACAACCTAAATTAGTCACATTTATGGTGCAACTAAACCTGCACTTGTTTACTCAGGTAAGAGTATATATCAAATACTTTGAAGGTGTCTAGGAGTTGGAGTGTCACAATTATGTTACTTTACCCTGTGGGTTTTAGGTAGGAAACACCAAGTCCTCATACTAAACTGTTTCTAGCCTATTGCATGCGTGAATAGAATTCAGATGTGAGACAAAGCATAATGGAAACTGAGGTAGGAACTGGCTTTTGTTTTGTTTTGTTTTGTTTTTTCAGTATCTAACTTACCTGGATGTTATTTTGCTTTTTGCAAAGTTTAATGAAGAGAAATACATCTGACAGAGCTTGTGGCCATCTAAGGAAAGAACAGAGCACCCACTGAATATTCAGACTGGAATTTTTATGGATGTGAGTATGAGGTCCCTCTTTCTTCTCTCCTTCTTCCTCTCTTGGGAAACTGTAGGTGGGATTTTCTGGATGATGAGTGCCTCTAAATCCTCCTACAAACTTCAGCACAGTGTTATAGAATCTAAAAGCTTCCTTGAATGCAGGGCACAGGGGATTCCCCTGAGCTGCCTCCAGGGAGAGGCCTGGAACCCATCTAACAAGATTATAGAACAAGAGCAATTACTTGAAATCTTTCTTGCATGAAGACAGTAACCTTTGACTATCCACCTCTGTTAACAATATAATCTACATGATATACTGTCCTTTACTCATTTTATGCACAATGCAATGAATCCCATATTAAGTGACATCAACATGTGTTTCACAGAAAAATAATATGTATGTGTATGTATATAATATATACATATGAATGATTATGGCAAAATGGTATTATTAAATCTTAAAAATAAATGTAATTTAAAAATAAAACCAGGAAACCGAAAAAATAAAGCAAAAGGCAAAAGTTAAAAAAATCTAAAAACAAAAAAAAAAATCAGTCTGTGTTTTATTTCCTTGTATCAAGGGTGGGCCTTTTGTAGAATTAAGCCATGGTTTAGTAGGAATTAGTGAAAAACAGCAGAAAGCAAATGCCCTGTGAGTGAGACCCAGGATTGAATCTTGGCTCAGGCAATATTAGCTATGAAAATTGTCACAGGATTAAATAAAGTAGTGTGCACAGAAAAATCCATGCCTGAAGCAAATGCTCAACAAACCACTGTTATCATTTCTCTCCTCTTTTGCAAAGTTAGCATTTTATCATTTAGCCCAAGCTGTATGGAGCTTTCTTCCTTCTATCCAAATCAGATTACTGTAAATAGATTTCTATCATCTTTTAGAGTTGATCTGATTCTATGTAATATCCAAGAACTATAATAATTTTCTCTATATGACTCTGAATTATTTGAAAATGTGTTAAGAGTAATTAGTCATGCCCAGTATTATTTTTATTAGGAATCTAGTATAAATGCCTATATCAAGAGGAAGTTAACTGTAGTATATTTTCCAAAGCAAAATTAATCCTTCTGTAGTATAAAAGTAAATTTGCAGTAATTTACATGTGGAATTCTATGTATCAGAAGTTTTTACAATTCACAAATTCATCATGGGCAGAACAACAAAAAATGGTAAAAATATGCTTTAATGGAATTAATCATATAGAATGAGCTATAGATCTAATACAATGCAGTACATTAGATTGTTAAAGTTGATTTTATTGTTATAAAGTTTCCATCAATATTTATTCGAATTTTACAAAACTAAAACATTAATAAATTAATTAAAACGTTAATTAGTATCAGTATCAATTAAAGAGAAATAGGAGTGTTCTACATTTGATTAAATTATTAAAATCATTGTAAAATGCACAATTGCTGAAAGTTCTAGAATTCTGATATTCTATTCTAATACTTTGCCCACTGGTATCCAATCTCATTTATTTAGATGTTGGGATAATATTTTTAGATACTCATATGGAGTTTTAATATGAAAACAGTTAGTAGAATTCAGTGGTAAATTTAAAATGTGACTTGATTACTTTACAAATGACATGAGTTCAATCACTCCTACCTTCCATTTGATTCTGCAGTGAGTGGCATGAACTGTCGACCAATCTATCATCATGCCACTGTCTTCTAATCCACTTTTGGGAAATTATGTTCACAGTATTGTTTGTCCTTTCTGTAGTAAATTGAACTGTAATTTTATTAATATCTTTAAGTTTGTTTTATGATATTTCAGCATGAAGAATATCAGTGAAGTTACCACGTTTGTTCTGAAGGGCTTCACAGAAAATCTTGAACTTCAGATCGTCTTCTTCTTCCTGTTTCTAGCAATCTACCTCTTTACCCTCTTGGGAAATTTAGGACTGATTGTATTGGTCATTGGGGATTCCCGGCTCCACAACCCCATGTATTATTTTCTGAGTGTGTTGTCTTCTGTAGATGCCTGCTATTCCTCGGTTATTACCCCAAATATGTTAGTAGATTTTGTATCAAAGAATAAAGCCATTCCATTCCTAGGATGTGCAGCACAAATGTTTCTTGCTGTTACCCTCGGAACCACAGAATGCTTTCTCTTAGCTGCCATGGCATATGATCGCTATGTGGCCATCTACAACCCACTTCTGTACTCAGTGAGCATGTCACCCAAGGTCTATGTACCACTCATCATCGCTTGTTATATTGGTGGAATTTTGCACGCCATTGTGCACACAGTGGCCACATTTAGCCTGTCTTTCTGTGGATCCAATGAAATTAGACATATCTTTTGTGATATCCCTCCTCTCCTGGCTATTTCTTGTTCAGATACCCAAATGAACCAGCTTCTACTCTTCTACTTTGCTGGCTCTATAGAATTATCAACTATATTAATTGTTCTAATCTCCTACGGTTTCATTCTGTTAGCCATTCTGAGGATGCGTTCTTCTGAAGGGAAACGCAAAGTTTTCTCTACCTGTGGCTCCCACCTAACTGGAGTGTCCATTTTTCATGGTACTGTGCTTTTCATGTATGTGAGACCAAGTTCCAGTTATGCTTTGGAGCATGACATGATAGTGTCGATATTTTATACCATTGTGATCCCAATGTTGAATCCCATCATCTATAGTTTGAGGAACAAAGATGTAAAAGAGGCAATGGCAAGAGTGTTTGGGAATAATAAGTTTATCAATAAAGTTTATTTTTCATACTAAAAACTCAATTGAGAACTTTGAGAGTGATATTCTGCACCTCAATATAAAGAAGTTATGATGGAAACGTTTGTTTCAGTTTGTTGGTGTAATTCATTTCTTTTTGGTCATTTAAAACAAAGACCTTGAGCAACCCCCTGCACATGCTGTTTCTGCATACAGAATGAAACCCCTTCATTTTCTTTGTGCTATGATCATATTGATTATGTAGATACCACATAGATGTGTTTCCATGTAGATACTAATAGTTGTACAAGTTATGGATCTCTCTCTATATATAGATAGCTAGATACAGATATACAGATATGAGAGATTCATTCTGGCTCCCCTCTCCTTAGTTCGTATGTGAACTCTTTAACTGAATTTTGGAAATGAATTAATATAGTGTATGATTAACAAGAGACAAACATACAAGTTTTACTAATTTTGCAAGTATGCGAAGATCATCACAAGAGTGTGAATTCTGAAGGAAAGATAAGAGAATAATGTGCTTATGCTCTTCAATCTAAGAACCTAAATGTGTGCAGGAATGGTAGGACAGACAAATCTCTAAACTAGGGTAATTACTTCTATGGACATCGCTAAGGGACATACGTTCAGAGAACCAATCTAGGAAAAGATAAAGTTACTATAGCAAGATTATTCATTAATACTTAATGATTAAGGCTGTTTACCATTTTAGAACACAAAGTACACAAAGGACATCTGTTTTAAAGAATCTGAATGGGGTGCTGGTATTGTGTCACAGTGGGTTAAGCCACCGCTTGCAAGGCCAACATCCCATATGTGTGTGCTAATTTGAGTCCTGACTGCCCCACTTTTGATCCAGTTTCCTATTAATTTTCTTGAGAAGGCAAAAGTTAGTGGCTCCATGTGCTTGGATCCCTCCCACCCAAGTGGAAGATAATGAACGGGATTCTAGGCTCCTGGTTTTGGCGTGGCCCAGCCCTGACCATTGTAACAATTTGGGAGTGGATTCAGTGGATAGATGATCTCTCTCTTTCTAGCTCATTCCTGCTGTCTCTGGTCTCTGTGACTGTCCTTTCCAAATATATGAATAGACAAATCTTTTCATCAAAAGAATATTATGGCTTTTTGAACATAGGAAAACACAGGGCAAAACTGGAACTTTCTGAAGTCACAATTCTTCAGGTGATTTTAGGTTGAAATTATCAATAAACCAGTTTGCATATCTTGAGATGGCATGCCCTTAATTCCTTCATGTATAATCTTCAAATACATTTTTCTTTTTCTTATTTATTTTCCAATTGTATGGAAGATCCCAGAACTGAAATTTGAAAGATTTTTTTTCATTATACTTGATTAGCTTGATCAAATACCACTCAATCCCAGGAAAATCCACTGTCCTCATAGATATAGGACATTTTCCATGGAGTTACTGGAATCTATTTCAGTTCAAGGCATTGAGCTTTATCCATAAGTCTATGCAACAAGCTAATTGGAGCCTGTGGTTCAAGTATCACAGGTAATGTGGCCAAATTTCAAGATGCCCTTACTGGGCTTACCTATCAGAGTATATCTCGACCTCTTCACTGTGTTTACAGAGTATAGGCATAAACCCTTATTCAAAATGCCCCAGAATATAAACACTACATGTTAGCACTTATGAAGCCTATCCTTAAGCTGAATAATAATAATAATAACAATAATAAAATGCCCAATTCAGAGTGTAAAGTACAAACTGCTTAGCAGATTGGATTCTTCCCATGACTAAATTCTCAGCCATCTCCATGGGATTCCCTAAAGATCTGATTATTCTCAGTTTTTGGTTCTGTTTTCTTTAACCTGTACTACTTTGTGATGCTCTAAGGGTTAGCACTATTCCTTATTGCCCAGGGACAAAAGTTCAGAAGAGGGTCTTGACTTTGTTCATGTAAGCCCTGCTTCCCACAGACCACATTTTCATTGCAGAAAACTGTGCCTTTCATAGATGATTTTCAGTGATAGTGTTTACCTTCTCTCCTTCATATTTGATCATTATTTAATGTTTTATTTTTTCTTTGTGTGTGAGAGAGGAGAGAGAGAGAGGGAGAGAGGGAGAGAGGGAGAGAGAGAGAGAGAGAGAGAAATATTCCCATTTACCATTTACTGGGTCACTGTCCAAATGCCTGCAGTTGCAGTATCCAGGGCTCTCCACGGCCAAGCCAGAAGACCAGAAGTCAATTCAGGTTTCCCACATGGATGGCAGGGACTAAACTACTTGAGCCATAATCTTACTCTGAACAGGACTTGCTCTGAGATGAGACAAATATTTGGGAGCTGGAATTCAGAATGGAACCCAGGTAATCGGATGTGGAATGGATGCATCTTATCTGGGATCTTCACAGCTGAGCCTGCTCTAGTGTCTGACTATTTTGTGAACTCAGTGTGTTACTTAGCATTTATTTATTTTATTTGTTATTCACAACAGGACAATATTCTTAGAACACAGAGTACAACCAAGAGGTATTTTTTCTAGAATGGATACTTCAACCGTAAAAATACAGAGTATATCTTAATAGGAGGCATTCCTACACAGTGTCTCAGATTTGTTTCCTGTTTGGAAACACTTTGCCTGTCCTCCGATATCACATGGTTCCTTCCTTAATATGTCAAAACAAAGTCATGGTCATTTTTTTAAAAGAAGTATTTCATTTATTTGAAAGAGAGAGTTACAGAGAGAAGCAGAGCCAGAGAGGGAGAGAAAGGTCTTCCATTCTGCTGGTTCACTCCCCAAATGATCGCAATAGCCAGAGCTGAGCTGGAGCTGAGTCAGGAGCTTCCTCCACGTCTCCCACAAGGGTGCAGTGGCCCAAGAACTTCCACCACTTTCCCAGGCCATCGCAGAGAGCTGGATCGGAAGTGGAGCAGCCAGGACTCGAACTGGCGCCTGTATGGGATGGCAACGCTGCAGACTGGGGCTTTAACCCGCTGCCTCACAGTGCTGGCCCCAGTCATGGTCACTTTTAATCATTATTTGCACATATTTACACCATGTGAATGAAGACAGCCCCATTAATTACTGTGTGTATGTGTGTGTGTGTGTGTTATTAAGCATTGCAGAGATCTTAAACACAGCATAAAACCTGCACCTCATGGGAGACCAGGATAAGTACCTGGCTCCTGCCTTCGGATCAGCTGCAGTGCGCCGGCTGCGGCGGCCATTTGAGGGTGAACCAACGGCAAAAGGAAGACCTTTCTCTCTGTCTCTCTCTCTCACTGTCCACTCTGCCTGTCAAAAAAAAATTAAACAATAGTAGACCTAAAAGTCATAGGATATTAAATAAAGTATATATGCAGACAATTCACAAAATAAGAAACTGTTTAGGGATAATATATGTACTTTAAAATGATTTGGATAATATAATGTAAAATGATACAAAACATTCTTCCATACTCATACAATTGACACAAATTTACCAGTGACTTCAAAGTACTGCTGATGAGGTGGAGTAAGAAAAAAATATTTCCAGGAGCCAGCATTGTTGTGCAGGAGGTTCAGCCTCAAACTGCAGCGCAGGCATCCAATAAGGGCACTGGTAGAGTTCTCCCTGCTCCACTTCTGATCCCAGACCCCTGCTGATGTACCTGGGAAAGCAGTGGAAGATATCTGAGTTTTTGATCCCCTGCATCCAAGTGGAAGACTTGGAAGAAGCTCCTGGCTCCTGTCCTCTGCCTGGCTCAGTCCTAGCCATTGTGGCCATTTGAGAAATAAACCAACAGATAGAAGATTCTCTCTCTCTCTCTCTCTCTCTCTCTCTCTCTCTCTTTCTCTCCCTCCCTCCCTCTGTCTCTCTTTCAATCTCTGTAACTCTACTTTTCATATAAATAAAAAATCTTTTTTTTAAAAAAAGAAAATATTTCCAGTCTTCTAGTAGGAATATAAAATTAATAGACAACTGAGGGCCAGCGCCGTGGCTCACTTGGCTAATCCTCCACCTGCGGCGCCAGCACCCCGGGTTCTAATCCGAGTTGCTCCTCTTCCAGTCCAGCTCTCTGCTATGGCCTGGGAGTGCAGTGGAGGATGGCCCAAGAGCTTGGGTCCCTGAACCTGCGTGGGAGACTTGGAGGAAGCACCGGGCTCCTGGCTTCAGATCAGCATAGCGCCGGCCGTGGCAGCCATTGGGGGAGTGAACCAATGGAAGGAAGACCTTTCTCTCTGTCTCTCTCTAACTGTCTATAACTCTACCTGTCAAATTAAAACAATAGACAACTGAGACTATAATTATATATTCCTAATTTTATATATTCAACAAAATCAGAATTTTTATCTAATTGAATTAATATGGATGAATCCAAAAGCAAGCTGTCGCTCCCCCTTTTCGTGGAGGAACGACACTAAACCCTGCCTAGGTTTCCTATCCGAGTCATGGCACCATTATTGTCGCTCCCCCTCTTCGTGGAGGAACGACACAGGACCCTGCGTTGTTCTTTCGTCTGCTCGGCCCTCCCCGGGTTTGCTGCTGGTTCTTCCCGGTTGGCTACCGACCCTTCCACCTCCGTGGAAGGGCGGTTCCCCCTGCCACTTTCCCCACTTCCGCGGGGGAGCGGCACACCGCCGGCCGGCTCTCTCGGGGGCTGCTCAGGTGTTCCTTCAGATAGATGTTCCTGGCGCATGTTGTCTCTCTCCTCCTTTATAGTCCTCTTCCACCAATCCCAACTCTGCTACCCACACGCCGAGTACGCTGCTCTCCTCCAATCAGGAGCAGGTCCTACAGTTTATTGGTTGAACTGGAGGCAGCCTTGTAGAAGCTGTTTACTCCTCTCCCAGCGCCATATTGTGGGAGAGCAGATGCATAGAATAAGTCTTAATTTCAGTAACTTAGTCTAGTCCGAGTTGCTCCCCACACAAGCCAATTAAAAGAATAAGTTTTTACAATAGACGTTCTTTAGTATATCAAATAAATTTATTTAAAATATCTGCAGAGTATATTTTGTTGGTGAGCACATAATTTAATCTTAGCGAGTGACAACTTGGGTGTGAGAAATGGTAAAGAACACTC